CCGCAGCCGGGCGGGAGGAGCCGGGGCTGCGGCGGCGCCTCCTCGTACTGCTCCAGGGATGAAGGATCGGCCCTGCGTCTGCCTCGCGCGGGCCGGGATGAGGCCGGGCGAGGCGCCTGCCCCACCCTGCAGGGAGGGAGCTCGAGCTTTGGAGCTGGGTGATCTCCAGGGATCACGGTTTGTCTGATTTAAAAACATCCTCAATTTAGGGTTAAAAAAGTAACCCCAAAACCACATTTTTCTGTTATTTAAATGAAACACCACTATATATATATACACATATATATATATATAGCACTGATCTCTAGGGGTGACATGGGGCCCTGCAGCACCAGAGCCCGGGGCTCAATCTGGTCAGCAGCTCACTGTGTTGTCCCCTGGGCCCGGCTGTCCAAAGGCCTTGAGGTTCTTTGTGTGCCTTGCCCCAGTAAACCTGTGATAGGCATTGCGGGTTTGCTGCCTTTGCCTCCCCTGAGCTCCTCTTCACTTGCCTGAGTTCAAGGCAAGGCCCTTACCAACACTTGCTTTTACAGTAGACGTCACAAGACAGGTAGTCCTCCTCTGCCTGACTAAAAGCAACTGAATAATTTGGTGCCAGTCCAGGCACTGGACTTTACAGTCCCAAACATGTGAGTCATAGTGTGTTTGGTGTCCTGGAGTAGGGATCTGAGACTCATTAAGACAATAGTGCCTAGGCCAGTTAGGACACAGCTCTGCCACAAGCCACAGCCGCATTGTAAGTACCAGCAAACAGGAAATTCACCAGTGACTGCAGATAGCAAGAATGGGTCCCACATTGTCTGTTTCTTGTTGCCTCTTTCTTCCCACTCCCTTGCAGCCGTACCTGCTTGTTTTAAATGTTTGTTGCTGCCTTCATTGTCAGACAGGTATCTGACATGGGAAGCAGCCATGACCACTCTGATATGCCTAGATACTGTGGTAAGCATGTTTGTTATTACCCTGAAATAGAATAGTTTTCTGATAGCATACTGTTAGGTTAACAATAATTTGGATTATTAAGAAGTATTAGCTTTGCAGCTGAATACAAGGCATGACCTGTGGCCTAGCAATGCCGCTGACCACAAGGCAGAATGATAGCTAAGCCTTTGCTTGTGTCAAGTAATCATTTAAACTGTGTTAAGCATTTTCTGAGTAAAATGCAGCAAGTGGATCTGTGTCTGTGTGCTGTAAAATCAGCTACAGCAAGGAACAAGATAAAACAAAAAAGCCATTTTTCTAAATACAGTGATCGTGTCCTTAAGAAGTATCTACCACTGCAAGTTCTTGCTAACATATCATAATGTTACTGTTACTTAACTTATAGCTTTTAAAAAGTGCTAGTTCAACTTAATAGAAATATGCTGTTATGAAGATTTGTGAAGCACCGCCCAAGTATTGCTTTTGTTAACCCTGTAGTCTTGCCTTGTTGTAAAAAGTATAAAAGATCGCCCCACCCTTTAGGGGGGGCCATTTTGCCTCTTTGCTGGCTTAATGGTCATTGCTCGAGCAAATATACTGCAGTAAAACTTTACCCGTGTTGTCCGGTTCCTATGCAGCTAGACAATGAACCCCAGGGAGTTTTCTCCCACCACAATACTGCTTATGTTGTGTTAGGAGCAAGAGTAGATGAAGCAAGTCTTTTTTTTTTTTAATTTCTTTTTTAAGATGGCTGTGTATGTGTTTAAGCTTTGTGTGTTGGAGTCTTCTTGGCCATTTCAACACCAAACTGCCAACAACCTACTTTGCTGGACCCTATATCCTGCCTTCTACCTAACTTCTGATTCAGTTAGTCTGTAAGGTGCACCTCCACCCTTCCTTCTGCCTGACTTCAGGCTAATACGGCTAGCACTTAACATTCGTCTCTTTTAATGAGTGCCAGTTACAACTGTGGGGTTTTTTGCATATCCTTCTTTTGTTTCACATTGATGCAACAAGATCAGACATGTTGCCTCTTCAAGCCAGTGTGGAAAAGTGTTTTCTAAAAGCCCTGACTTCACAGAGGCCTCTGCAACCCTGAGGAATGAAGATTTTTGTTCTATACACAGAAAAGTATAGCATAAACAATGTAGAGCTGGCTTCTGTAGTATCCCAGCAACATGTCCCAAATATGTCCAATGGCAACTGAAATAATGACACAAAAAGTCATATAAGCCAAACAGTTCTTTGGTGGTAATAGATTTCATTCACTTATGACTTATTCCATTAGCACACTATTGTCTGTAATATCAAAATGGTATCTCTCAGGTAGACAGGTGTATTTTTAGCTGTCCCTTTAGTAACTTGTTACTAAGAGGTGATTGTATTTGGGCAGAAGAGAGGATGTTAGATTTAACTCATGCCGGAGTGCCTGGCAAGCACGTGTCAAAAATTGTATCTACTGGAGACAACATTCAGTCCCTGGAGAGATGGACTTGCATGAGACATTGGGGAATTGCATTCATGGAAAAGAAATCAATTTAGAGCTAAAAGGACAGGAAAAAAACAGTGTGTTCTGCACATGCTGAAAGTACAGATGATAATTTTACATTTCCTAGCCTCGGAAAAGAATTCTTAGGAAAAATGCCAGCGACATTTTCACATGTGGTAGCATGCCGAAGTGAACTACAGATTCTGTCAAAGTCCAACTCAAACTGCTACCACATATGAGAGCTACAACCTGCCTTTTCTTCTCTAGTTTTCCCTTGTGTTAGCTTATTTGAGTTAAGAATATATCTCTTCCTGGTGAAGAACATTCTTTCAGGTAGAGATAGGGAACCTACATATCACTTTACAAAGGTCAATGCTGGAGCCAAGCAAGTAGGATGGGACTTACTTGTTCCATGCAAGTATTGTGGAGGAACTGCTAGCAATGATGAACTGTTGAGAATTTGTATTAGCTCTTGCTGAAATTCTTCCATAAAACTGTAGTGATAGTTTTTCAGGGCCTGATACTACTTCAGATTAAGTTAATTCCCTCTGGATACTACTGTAGCACCTTTTCCAGAGATTTATCTCTGGAGGCCATAAATGTTCTTTGGAAGATAAAATTTATTACCTATGCAGTGGATCATATGCTACCCAATAGCAAATGTTTCCAACATTTGAATTGGAATCTCCCTTGGTAAAATCTTCATTGCAACTCCATCTCAACCAACACAATGTGACCTGTGTATTTTTATCCATATACACTTGTATAGCTTTCAGAAAAGCAACAGAAACTCTTCCAGCAAATGATCTTACAAGCTTATGGGTTTGTTGTCCTTTTCTGTGGTTTCAGGTATGGGTGGCTTTGTTTAAATAGGAAAATAAATGAGTACTTTATTCTCTACCTGTTCACCCTTCCTTTGGAATTCTATGTACATAGGTGGCTCAGAATAAACTGAGATAGAAAAAATGATGAATGCCTTCTTCTAACATATTGATGCATACCACGGGGAAGCAGCTGAGATTCTGAATCTAAATACTGATACTTTGCACCCTGGCTGAAACAGAAAATCATTCTTTCTAGATAGACTGAAGGGCCTGTTAATACTTATTCTTTTGTGTGGTTTATAAATATCAAAATCACCATCCTACCAGTTACCTTTTGTTCTGCAGAGCTCTGTATCAGTGAAGCAGTAGCCCATGCAAAGTTAAACAGCTTTTCTGTCAGCAGAAGAGAAATATTTTTTGAGGTGTGTAGGAGATAGGAATGTTAGGTATGACAGCATATTGCAACAGAATCTTAAAAAGTGCATGTATCAACCTATTTAGAAAATGAGTGACTGCTAACCCCATACAGCAAGGATAAAATGAGTGCATATTTAGAGAGCTGATTAAATAGAAAACCCACAACCAAGAATTTAAAAAATGATTTAAATTAGGCTTCTAAATCCCAATTTAAATATCTAAGTTGCTTGGTTATTTAAAGGTGCTGGGTAGTGAGCAGTTTCCATTGATGCAGTGATTTTTATAAAATGAGACTACTTATTTGGCTGTTTCAGAGGTTAACATTAGGCCCCAGTTTCTGAAAATCTTAACCTGAGTCACTAGTCTGCAAAAATTTAATAGAAGTTTGTGGTAAACTTTCTCACCCAATCTTCCTTTCTCATTTCCCCATATCTGCCGCTGCTAACTTGTGAGTAACATTTTACTTTTACTGCCTTACCCTAATCCCTATACCCATTGTTGTTCACACTAATCAAAGATTATCATTTTACTGCCATACAAAACTATTGCACGATTCCACTTTCTATTCACTTAGTCCTGTCTGAGCTGGAGAGCTGAGAAGGAGAACATCACTTCAAGTGGTAGCAACAAAACCTTGATTGGAAAGTAAACACGTCATAGAAAATAGAGCTGGAAAGGACTTCAGGAGGACATCTAGTCCAACCCCCTGCTCAAAGCAGGATTGTTCCTGTCTAAACAGTTCAAAACCTCTAGGTCTGCAGATGGACTTAAAGGCTAGGAACAGAAGTTACACATAAACCAGTTTAAGTGATCAGAAACTGGTTTGAACCTGTAACAGAAGAGAAGCTCAGTGCACATAAACCAGTTTCAAAATGGCTGAGACTGATTTAAGATAAACATGGCTGAATGTAGTATTAGACTTAACTGATTTGGGTCAAACCAGTTTATGAAACTTCTGTCCCAGACCCCTTCCTGGTTCAAGTTAAATCACAGTCCCCCAGCATGCTTTGCAGTCAAGTCTGCTCCAGAGAGCAGGGCTAGCTCCACCCCCTTGCTCCATAGTGTCTCAGACGGCTAGAGCCGACTCGGAGAGTTAGAAATTGCTCGTTTGTCAGGGTGGGCTGATGAATGGAGAGGCAGACAAGGTTTAATGGTTGCAAAAACATTTACTTACGCCGCGTGGAGTTGCGACGCAGCTGGTCTGGTCGTCTGAACAAGGGTCGGGTCATCGGAACAACCACACGAGTTGCTCCAGCTGGCGGGGAAAGGGGTACGTCGGGGTTGCGCTCAGTGACAGGAAGAAAGATCGATAGGTGATCAGTCTATCGATCAGCTAGCCGCAAGTCAGATCTCTTTAGAGGCACTCTGCAGCATGCTCAAAGTTCTTTGACTTGGGCGGAAGTCGCGCGAATTTTTAAACGGCCAGCAGGCCAATTACCAGGCACTACGTGTGAATAATTTAGAGCTGGCCAATAGCGGGACACAAATTTGCATTCGAATAGCGGGAACTCTTTGCACCGTGCATTTCT